AATCTGAGAAGTTTACAAATTTAATCATATGAGTCAGCAGGGGTCAGGGCTCTCACTTTGCAAACATCCTGAGCCTATGCAACAGGAGGGCAGGGAAATGTTGTGAGTGCTACACCTACTCTGGGTTGGCCTGCATGCAATAGAAGGAAAAGAGGAATGATTTACTCCCTCCTCCATCCCTCCATTCCCACGTCCACCCCCTTGTGCTCTTGCTTTTGCTGTCTTCTGCCACCATAAACTGTTTTTCCTGTGCCATGCCACCCTGCTCTGGGGCTGACTGTGTACTGAAACCTCCAAAAACTGAGCTAAATATACCTGTCCTTCTTTAATTTGGGGTGTCAGGTATTTTGTCTCAGCAATGAGAGAAAAGTAGCCAAGACACCATGCTTGCCAGTAATCCCAGCCCTTTGAGAGGCTGAAACCGGAGAACCTCCCAAATTTAGAGCCCCACCTAGGCAATTAGGTGACTATCTCAAAATAATGTTGGCAAATACTTGTAACTCACAACTGATTATGCGGCTAAGGCAGGAGAATCTCTGTGTTTGAGGGCAGCCTCGGCCTCACAGGGTACAAGGCCAGCCTGAACTACATAGTGCAACCCTGTTTCAAAAACAGAACAACTACAACAACAAACAGGAGATGAGAATATTGCTCAAAGCAGAAGCCTTGAGTGTTATCTCCAGTACTGAAAAAAAAAAAAAAAAAAAGGTGTTTTTGGCTAGTGGGGGCAGAGTAGGCAGCAAACAGCACACCAAGGTATTCCAAGGTGCCCATGGCAGTTCCAGTTGTGCCAACTAGCAGCATCCCTGGTTCCCACTAGCCTACAGTAAGTAAGCAAAGGCCTCTGTGAATGTTAACACTGAGGTCTGTGCCAAGAAGGCTGACAGGGCCCTGCACAATTGGGTGCTGCAATCAAAGACATGGTGGCTGAGAAAGCTCCCATTTTAACCCTGTAGTGGACCTTGCCCTAGCCCAGGGCTACAGCTGGAACACTCCTGGTGGAGAAACCAGTTCTTGGCTTTGATAAATTTCAACCTTCTTAAGGACAAAATGAGTACTTGTGTGTCTTGTAGATTCTACTTAGGAAATTCAGTGTCAAATGAGATGAATTACATCGTCCTTCTCCAGGTTTTCTATATTTATCATGACATTGTCTTAGAGATCTTTTTTTAGTTCATAAGTTTGAACCCAGAACCTCTGCCAAGGCTTTACTTTCAAGACAAGGTCTCCCAGAGTTGCTCAGAAAACTGGGCTCAAACTTTGGCTCTTCTTGCTGAGGCTGTCACTACATCCTCTGCCTTGCCCCTTTGATCGGTGTGGCCAAAGCTTGCAGGGATGGTGGATCCCCAGTCTCCTTTTCACCTCCTGTGTGTGGTTGGCCTCCTTGGAGGGCTCCATCCCTTCTCTGAGAAGGAATCCAGTCCTGAGTCTGTCCTGGCTGGCAGCAGAGACCTCAGCTGCGAGGCAGACCTGAAACCCAGCAGACACTTCCATCTGAGATGCTCAGCTCTAGCAGGCAGGGCCTCTGAGTGCTACTCCATCACAGTCAGTTAAACTCTTGAAATACTGGGGAGTGAAGCCTGGGAGTACTGAGCTACATGTCCAGCCCCTTGATTGATGATTGATTGATTGATCGATTGCCAGGGATTGACTCACAATCTCACACTTGTTAGGCAGGCACTTTGCTAAAATATATTCCCGGCTGATTTTCCAATTTTGAGATAGACTCACTAAATTGCTCAAGCTGTCTTTGAATTTAAGATCCTTCTGCCATGGCTTCCCTAGATTCTGGAATGATAGGTGTATGCCTCCACACTAGATAATACAATGTTTTTAGTTTTGTGTGCTTGGGATTGAACCAAGGGCCTTTGCACTGAGCTATATCCCTAGTCCTTCATTTATTTACTTTTGAAACCATCTTCAACCCTATGTATTTTAGGCTGGCCTTGAACTTTCTAATTCAGCCTCCCCAATTCTGATAACTCACCACAACACCCAGGTTTTTCATTTTCATTTCATTTTTTAGGTAGGCTCTAAGTGTGAGCTCTCCAGCCTAGGATCAAGTTTATAATCCTCTAATGTTAGCGATCCAGATCCCAGAGTGCTGGGTTTGGAGGCGTGTACTCCCATGCCCGGCTCAGCTCATTTTTAGTAGTTTTTGATTCTACTTCCCAACCACCACCCGTACATGCATGAAGAGCTCTTTCTAAACACTGCAGTAAGTCTCAGAACTCACCAACAGTTCACTCCTGCCCTAGAAATGGCTGCACTTACCAGCACTGCTCAGTGATCTGTGTGAGCCTAGCCTATTGAGTCCTTCATTGCTGCCAAGTCTGTCCCTATGTCCCCTCCTGAGTACTCTTTGATCCCCAATCCCAACCCCACACGATAAGACATTAGCCACCCACCTGAGGACTTATTCACTTGCAGGCAAGCACTTCATCATCAAACTGCCTCCCCATCTAACCATTACTTCAAAACGCAACTGTCAGCTGCAGTGGCAAATTCCTTGTAAAGCTGAGGCAGGATAGCTGCAATGTTTACATTTAGTCTGGGCAACTTAGCAACATTAGTTTTGCCATAGCAAACCCCTGTGGCAAATTCTAAAAAGGGAGGCAGGGATGGGGTTATAGGTCAGTAATAAAGCATCCCTGGGCTCAGTTCTCAGTATGGAAGCAGAGGGCTGATTGTCGAGAGGAAATGGGGACATTTTATAGCCACTATCATGTACTGTAGTCTTGGAGCTCTTTTTAGAACAACTGAACTAAGAAGCGACACCTCCTGAATAGTGTACTTGGATACCTGGACATTTTAAGAATTAACTGAAAATCCACCAGGAAGCAAGAGTATTAAACTACAAAAAAGGGAGATCCACAAGGCTTCTTAACACACAGGCAAGAATGAGAGTCTTAGGCTAGGGATACAGCAGGGTGGCAGAGTACATGATATGCAAGTATAAGGCCCAGGTTCAATCCTCAACACCAAAAAATAAAAATGAAAAAAAATTAAAAATAAAAACAGGGTCTTCTTTTTTTCAGATTTATTTTTGGATTACCATACAGAACACAGAAACTATTACCTGTAACTAGGGAACCATGTGGTGTCTCAATACCGGTATATATCATGTGGCTTTATTGAACAAAGCTGTTCCCTCATTTATCATTTCTTTACATAGTTCATTGTGAAGGCCTGGGTTCAATTCCCAGGACAGGAAGAAAACATTGCATCCATGTTTTCCCATGCTGACATATGTGTTGCATAGCATATACAGAGTATTAATATAAAACCAAACCAAACAAACAGCAGGCAGGCATAGTGACACACATACATTCTTAACCACCTGGAGGGAGACCGAGGCAAGGAGTACAAGCCTAGTCTGGGAAACACAGTGAGGCCAACTCTCAAAAATATATCATTACCAACATAGAAAAATATACTTACACTATAACAGTCAAGTCTATATTTGTAACTCAGATGATATAAAATAATACATTAGAAGACTATTAGGGTATCCCTACTGTATTTCCATGAATACTTCAAATAAAGACAAGCAGACTCTCTTACAAGCAGACTGCCATTTCTTATTGTCATGAAAACAAGAAAACTGAAAGAACACAGGCCTGGGGGGTGTGACTCATTGTGAAGCACTTTCGTAGTATGGGCAGGCCTTGAGTTCAAACCATATCTCATGCCAGAAGCTAAATGAAAACAGAAGTGAAATGTAACCTGAAAAACTTTATCCTAACATATTTCATGTACAGAAGAGGACACCATCAATATGGAATCTGTGGCAGAGCACTTGCCTAGCGTGCAGGAGCCCTGGCTTTTGGTCTTCTCATAGTAGCTACCTATGCAGTCACACAAAACAAAGTACTTACGGAGCTCACACGCTGAGTGCCACAGCAGGTAGCTTCAAGATATAATAGAAAAAGAAAAGAAAAGAAAATTGTCCATTGCAGACACACTATCTACCAAAAATGCTCACCCTGCCATGTGTGGTGCCCTAAGTAGTCACCTCAGCACTATGGGAGACTAGATCAAGAGGATCATGAATCCAAGCCCAGCATGGGCAACTTATGTGATTTAGGGAAGGGAAGAGAAGGGAAAGGAAAAGGGAGGGGAGGGAAAGGGGAGGGGAGGGCAAAGAAAGGAAAGGCGCTCTGTGTGGTATATAGACCTACAATGATTTGTGTGGGGGACACTCCACCTCTAGTACAGTGAACAAAGGCTTGCAAAGGTCACCTTCAAGCCCAAATGAAACAGTCACCTTCAAGCCCAGCAGTGTGAACAAGCCCAAGACAGACCTGGAAGCATTACTAGAACTGCTTCACAGATAGCTGTGGCCAAAATTATGCAGCTTTCTTCTACAAGTGGGGGAACAATAAACTGGAGGGGCTAGATCTGTAAGCATACAATTTAACAGACTGGGACACTGCCAGTCAAAACAACTCTGACTGGGTGTGGTGACACAAGCCTTAGGGTTAAGCAGAATTGCAGGTCTGGACCCAGCCTGGGAAACTAGTAAGATTCTATCTCAAAAATAAAGTACATAACACTGCTGGGGATGGAGCTCAGTGCAATGACCCTGTGTCCCAGACCCACCACTATTATTATAAAAAATTATTTTTAAGGGGCTGGGGATTTAGCTCAGTGGCGTAAGTGCCTGCCTTGCAAGCAGGCAGTCATGAGTTCGATCCCTGGTACCGATAAAAAAGAAAAAGACAAAAAAAAAAATTGTTTTTACCTGTATTTTAGAATTTCTTCAATTTTATCCCTACCATCACAAACCACCCCTCACCCCAAAAAAGCCCCCAACAACAATAACCACAGAAAAAGAAGAATGAATTTGTGGAACCTGGCACACAGCTCAACAGTAGAGTACATGGTCAGCTTACAAAACACTGGGCACGTTCTCTACCACTGCCAAAACACACTAAACACTAGAATAAGGCAAACCATGCTAACGCAACTCTGTCTGTGGGGAGTCCTCACTCACGTTATTATTCCCTGACGATTCTGAGTGGTCTGGAGTTTGGCCCGATGTAGAAGTAAGGCAGCAGCGGCTCATTGAAGGAGGTGCTGAAGGTGCAGATGTGTGCACCCTCGGGCATGTCGTAGAACAACACCTCACCCAGTTCATAGTCCAGGAAGACACCCAGGGTCCGATCACGCACGTCCAGCTGTATCACAGCAGGCTCAGCTCCCGGGGCATTGTAGCCCCCATCCTGCAGCTGCACACACCAACAGCCCTGCCCAGACCACTGATTCTTGGAGGACAGTGAGGCCCTGCACACCCCTACGGCCCACTGAGGCACATCACCAACTTTCACTTGCCAGAAATACCGCCCAGTGTAGAAATTTGGGTAGCCCAGCACCACGAAGTTGGCAGTGGAGCTTCTGGACACATGTAGATGGCTTGCCTTTTTCTTTGCAAACCCCACACACTTCAGGTCAGCAGAGATGAAGAGGTTGGGGTAGGCTGTTTCAGGATCTATGATGATGTCCATATGGAACTTCTTCTTGATCTTCTGTAGTGCTGAGTACTGGGGAGGGAAACTGTAGGCCTCCCTCTGCAGGTCAATGGAGAAGATGGGCTGATTGATCTCACAGTCAGAGCCCTGGTAGAAGTGCTTAATCTGTGACAGCAGCTCTACCTTGGACAATGTGCTGTGCTCTACCACCCTGGCTAGTAGGCTCTTGAGGGAAGCCCCATAGCTAGCAAAGGCAGAGATGTTGTCACTGAGCTTCCGTCGGATCTGCTGTTCCTCCTCAGCCAGCTGCTCCAAGGCTGCCTGCTGCTTGCACGCCAGAAACTGGCTCAGTAACTCTACCTCACAGGCCAGTTTCTGTCTGAGGGCCTCTGCCTTCTCCCTCAGCTCCAGAGGCACCCTTCTCTGCATTCTGATGAGCTTCTGAGTGTCAACTGCCTTCCGGCGGAGGACCTTGGCATAGTTGTGCAGTCGTGCCCGGTGCCGCATTGCGGCCTCTCTCAGGGGACTCAAGCGGTGGCCACTGTGATTGGGGAGCCACAAGCACTGGGGGCACAGCACCTCCAGATCCTTCTCACAGAACAGCGTCAGCTCCTGATTATGCTTCTCACACAGGTTGGTCTTCCCTGGCCGCTGCCTTTTGCTGTGGCTGCTGTGCAGTTTGCTGACAATCTGCACCATGCTGCCCAGCTGTTTGTTGCTCCAGTAGTAGTACTTCTCACACTCAAAGCGGCACACAGGGCAAGGGAACTTGTCCTTCAAGTTGGCCCAGGACTGCCAGATGCAGGCACGGCAGAAGTTGTGTCCACACTGGATGGTGACAGGGTCCACCAGGTCATCCAGGCAGATGGAGCACTTGGTCTCAGCCTTCAGTTGTGCCATGGCTGCTGCCACTGCCATCAGTTCAGTGCTTTGCTGCCCTTCCTGGGAACTTGGGTGGCCTCCGTCTGCCCCTCAGCTTCTCACAGTGATGGCGACTCTTGAGTATTTGAATACTGAATTCCTACAGCTACTCTTCCGTTACTGGCAGTGCAAAGTCACTGTGGGACAAAAATGGGGGACCCTGTTTATTCCAGGGGATCCTGTGCCCAGAGGTCACACTACAACCCACTGACCTCACCCTCATGCCTATCCTATTGAGGGTCACATCACTCACCCACTGGGCCTCAAGTACCCCCGCATGCACCTGGTCACCCCGCCATCAGGGGAAGGCACAGGCCCTTCTGGTAGTGCCTAAACACTTCAAGTTAGTGTCCTACTAACTTAGAGGGACTCAGTGCTTTACCCTAGACTCCTTCAGTGAGGTATAGGAGGACAATAACTCACGATAAACATGCCTTCCACAAACCTTACTTAAAGGTAGCCAGTTTGCAGATGATAGGTTTATGCTGTTGGTTTGTTTCTGAGGTACCAGGAATTGAACTGGGAGGTGCTCTATCCCAGGCCACTTTCCCAGTCGTAGAGACTGAACACAGCCTTCACACAGAGCCACACCTCTATTTTTCCTTTATTCTCACTTCAATCCCCCTGCTTCTGTATCCTCAAAGATAGGCCAGTATTTCCTGGGCTGGCCATATAGGTCAGTGGCAGTTAACCTACCTAGAACGTGCAAAGCTCTGGTTCTCATACCCATTAAGCTTGCAACCAATCAACACACTAAATGAATGAAATGCTCTTTTTATAACCGTTTGTGGCCTTGGGAATAGAACCTAGGACCTCACTCATAGTAGGTAAGCACTCTACCACTGAGGTTTGACCCATCACCAAAAAGTAAAAAGGGTCTCTGGTGGCTCAAAATTCACATTGACCTAGGTGTTCTCACACACATCTGTAATCCTAGCATTTGGAGACAGAGGCAGGAGGATCACCAGTTCCAGGCCAATCTGGGCTACACAGTGAATATAAAGCTAGCCTGAACTATGTAGTGCAACCCGGGTCAAAAAATGGATACATAAATTAAAAATTTACATCTACAGCAGAGAATGTCGGTGCACACCTGTAATTCCAGTACCTAGGAGGCTGAGGCAGGAGGACCAAGTGAGTCTGGGGCCAGCTTGAGCTACATAGTAAGTTCAAGGCTACCCTGAGTTACATAGCAAGAACCCACACTTCAAACCAAAAGGAAAAACAAAACAAAACAAAACAAAACTTTGCCAGCAGTGTTATAGCACATGCCTATAACCTCAGGAATTCAAGGGGCTGAGGCAGGAAGATCCCAAAATGAATCTCAGCCTGCACAAATCAGGGACCCTGACTCAAAAACAAAGCCAAGACAGTTTGGTTTCATGGCACAGACACATAATTCTAGAATTCAGGAGGCTGAGGCAGGAGAATTGTGGAAAGTTGCAAGCTGGCTTGAACTACATAGTTCAAGGCCAGCAGAAACTACAGAAATGAGACCATGTCTAAGAAAAACCAAAAATGTTAAGTGTGATGGTGCCCATTTGTAATTGAAGCATTCAGGCTGAGGCAAGAAGATCCAGTGCAAGGTCTGCCTGAACTACAAAGGTCAGTCTGAACTGTATCTCCAAACACACACATACACACAAAGACACAGAGACACAGAGACACAAAGACTCACACAGATACACATGGACACACACACACACACGCACGCACGCACAGAGTGGTACTTAGTTCTATCATATTCTCAGGAGAGGCTGGGGATATGCCGTGACCTTAACACACTGAGAGAAAATCTGTCATGCACCAGGGTCCCCTACACCATTCTTTGCTCTCCCTCCACATCCTAACGCTGCCCTCAGCCTTGACCTCCTGTACCACTATGCCCCTGGCCCGGCTCTGCAATAGGCAGCTACCCCATCCACACCCGGTCTCCTCGGCAACCATACAGGGGCACTCTATTCCTCCATTCGTTCCTCAGGCCCCACCTGTAGAAGGCCTGGCACCTGACACACTGTGCAAGCCCTTGAAAGGCGTAGGCATGGTGGAACACACCTGTAAATCCAGCACTTGGGCAGCCGAAGCAGAAGGACAAGTTTGAATTCTGTCTGGGCAAATTTTCTCAAACCCTTTAAGAGCAGAAAGTCCAGACGCATGCCTGTCTTTTAGGCACTTAGGAGGCCGAGGCCGAAGTAGGAGGAACAGCTGAGTTCAAAGCCATCCTGACCTACAATGAGACCTGTCTGGTCCTCTGAAGGGAAAGAGAGTAGAGAAAACAGTGAAAGAAAAGTGTGGAGACTGGAGAGCTGCCCAACAGAGGCAAGCGCCCTCTGGAGGAACAAAGATAAAAACGGCTGGCTTTATTTGAAATTGACAGGGGTGGAGTTAAAGGGGCAGGCTGAATGACGTACTGACAGCTGATTGGAGGAGACCTTGGAGCCTGCGTGAAAAGCGGGAGGTTTAACTTTTGGGTTGGCAAGAACAGGGAAGGCGCTGTTCAGCGCCATGTTAGCACGCGCATGGGGAAAAACCCGTCAAGGCCCTGTCTCAAATAAACAAAACTAAACAACGTAAAAATAAGGGGCACGTGTGAGAGGCGATATAACTCACTGCTAAAGCCTAGGTTCAACCTCCATTTCCGGGGCGTTAAAAAAATGAGTTCAACACTGAGCCCAGGCTGGCCTGGTGCTAGCTGCGACCCTCCTCTCTCAGACTCCTACACTACACTAGGCTTGCTGCTCTCTTAGCAGATGTGTGACAGAGGCTACTGAAACTGTCTGAGCCTAGGCCCAACCCAGACCACCACATCAGCCTCCACCCGCACCCCACCGTTCACAACCAGCTTCCAACTAGTATGAGGTTTCCACACCTGTAGCACAGCACTGGGCCTGCGGCTCACACTCACCCAGCCCCTGCTTACCTGACTGAATCAGCATATCGCAATGCAGTTCAGGCTGACTGGAACTCCAGCCACTCTCACACCTCAACCTCCAGCCAGCGAGAGCTGAGAGCTGCAGTGTTAGCTAGCCCTCAAGCTCTTATATGCATGGGCCGTCGTGGCCCCGTCCACCAATGTTCAGTTTCTGCGGAAAATGGACCAGCTCAGGGCTGGTCTGGACCTGTGCGCATGCACGCTAAGGAGTGACAGGATCCAATAAGTTACTTGGTCGTCTGTTTAGAGCTTTACAGTTTTCCAAGCTAGCAAGCATGTTCGGAGGCTTGATAGTTTGTTGTTTTCAGATACAGTGTATTTGAGTCCATAGCCTCCCTGCTGAGCTATTAAGTTTGACCTTCTTGCATTTCTTTGTTTTGCACCCGAGAGAGGCAGTCTTTCTGCCACGGCCTCCCAGGGTGCTGGAGTCATAGGAATGTGCCACCCTACTGGATGTGGATTTGAATTGTTTATTGTGCTATGGATGAAGCACAGAGCCTGACCCATGCTGCAAAATCATCCCTCCGTGAAGGTAAACCACAACTTGTAAATTTTTATTAAAAATTCTGATTCATTTAACATACACTATTCTTCTTCCTCCTCTTCCTCTTCCTCCTCCTCCTCTTCTTCTTTTGATAGAGTGTCTCGCAGTACTAGCAGGCTGGCCTTGAACTGAGCATCAACATTTTGCCTCAACCTCCCTCCTCCTGGGATAACAGGTGAGCATCACCACACCCAGACAAAAATTCACGGTTAAAGCTGGGTACTCTCACACATGCCTATAAGTAATAGCACTTGAAAGGCTGACACAGGGAGACTGGTGCAAGCTGGGCTAAATAGTGAATTCAAGGCCAGCGTGGGCTACATACTGAGTTCACAGCCAGCATGGACTAGGAATTGAGACTCTGCCACAAATAGACAAACAAAATAAATTAATGACAAAATGTGAAAGAGTGCTTGCTTCTGTAGCACATAAACCAAGAGCAAGATAGTGGCTTTGGGTTCCTTCCTTGGAACCATGAAAGAAGCAAAAAGCTACTAAATGAAAGTTTCCCAACCTCCAGCATAGTGAATTTAATAAACATCATATCCTCAACATAGCCAGTGCTGGAATCTGTCCTAGGTCAGCACACTGCAGGTGAGCATTCTCCGCTGGGGTGAGATTTTAGCACATGATAATTTACTGCTATTGTTAGTCATTATTTGTTTATTGCAGGTGGAACTGGGGATTTAACCTAGATCTTTGCTCTGTAGTCCAGAGTGGCCTCAAACTCACGACTATCCTGGCTCACCATCTGTTAGAGTAAACTGAGGCACAATTGACACCATTGAGACAGGCAGAGTTTCAGCAATATTTGAGAACTTCATTGCAGCCTGGTGCAACCAGTCTAAGGGGAAAAAAGGCCATTAGTTGTGAGCATGGGTGTTCACATGCTTTATAGGATAGTCTAGGTAGGGGTGAGGGGATTCATGAAATGGGCACAAAATTTTGCCTCTTTGAATAGGGAGTCTAGTTTTAGATGGTAGGGCAGTGTTGAGTGGAGTGGGGAGTGGAACTGAAAGGCACAACAGGTCTCTCCTGGTTTTACATAATCAGCTCTCTGTAGGTTAAGCTGTGTGAAGCAGCTGCTACCTGGTTGACCTGTGTAGGTAAATTGCTGGCTTCCCCTTGGAAGCTGTGCTCCTGCAGATAAGAATAACAGATGTACTTTGAAGTGTTTTCTCATCCTAGTTGGACTGGGGTCTAGTTCAAAGACCTGACATTCCTGCTACATTCGTGCTGTTTATTGTATCTCAGAACTTCTGCAGGTGTGACTAAGGGGTGCTGCATGGGACTCCCATAAAAGAGAGATGGAAAAAATGATGTGGGAAGGGACTCGACTGATGGTGACAGCAGGTTATTAGAAATAGGTGAGTTGATGCAGTACTACAGCATGATTATCTTTGGTTCTTAACATGGGTTAGCTTGGGATTCCTATGGGACAGTGGTAAAATGAGCCATCATGAAGAGTGTTCTGGACATCATAAATTGAATCTGTCCTTGCAT